TCCAAGACGAGCCAGCGGAGGGGCTGGCCGCTGGCGTTGCCCCCTTTGAGCGGCACTGGAAGCGTTTCAGAGCCGGAAGGATGAGTGTCCGGCCAGAGCTGTCCTAGAAGCACAAGAAATCCTCCTGCAGGGCAGAGCGTTTTCCCTTGACCCCATGCATTCAGCTCTTCAAGACATTTCACTGTCTGCCGACCCCATCAAACTAAGAGGTTTTTATAAGCAGGCATCTCTCTGTTGTCTTTAAAAGCTTCTCGGAGCCCTCTGCAGAGCTTCCCTCTGGATGCTCTTTGTTCCTTTTCCCCCCATAAAACGGCCTTCTTTTTTGCTTCTCAGCAGGTCAGGGACTGCAGCTGACCCTGCGGCCCATCGCGTAAGGCCCAGGTGACAGCCAAACCCTCCTCGCTCTTCCCCTTTGCTGATAAGCCGGCCTCCTCAGCGTGTTTCCAGAGCTGCCTTCCTCTGCGAGGTGGGAGAAACCCCCTGCCCTGAGACTTGCAAGACTCTGTTAAGCTGCCTCTGCTATTGCAAAGCCCATTTATCGCCCCGGCTTTTTGTTACTGTGAGCCCCAGTTCTAGAGGACCAGCCCCTTGTTCCCAAGCTCTCTCAGTGCATGGCCGCTTGTCACATCTCCTTTCACAACAGCACTGGCTGCTTCCGTGTAATGCTTGAGACGTGGACCCTCGCATCTGGCACTTGCAAGACAGCTCAGAGAGCTCACGTTGCCTTTATTAGATGAAGTCCTCAGCTTTGCTAGCAGGCCAGGTACATCTCTCTGGAGAGTGATCTACCTTGAAAAGCATTCGAAGCTAGGAAACAGCAATTTACCCCATTAACGCAGGGAAGGACCAAGATCACCTAATTTCAGCAGCAAGCTTTCACCTCAGCGTTTGCTCAAGGGCCACCAAACAGCCCTTGAAAAGAGAAACTCACAACATCGTAGAAAAGCTATACTTTTATTTGGCAGCAGTGCAGTCTCCTCAGCAGTCCTGATGCTTACAGGAATAACTTTGTGCTAATCAGAAAATTTGCTGGCAGCAGTTTGGTTCCTCCGGGGCAGGACAGAGAAAGTTTATACATACAGGTAGTAATTGTAGTCTTCTCTTAGTCCTTTATCACGCAGGAACTGATGTTTGTAAAAAAGTGTGACCTCACAGAAAATGATGAAGGAACTGGATTTGATTTGGTGGTGGCTTCATGGATGTTCCTCTCAGCAGCAATGCCAGATGAAGCAGCTTTGGCCATCATTAGGCTGCCTGTCCTCCTGCCACTGTTGCAGCTGCACCCTTACAACTGTATGACCATGAAGTGAACTGGATTGAGCTAATCCCTGTAAAAATAATCCTGGGGGAGGAGGGGGTGGAAAGACAGGGAGCATGGACAGGGGAGTATTTCTAAATGGCATTTTCTCCTGAATCTAGGTCATTGCATGGTTTCACAAGCAGACCGGTAACAGTTGGAAATTATCCTCTTTCCATGCAGAAGGATTGACCAGATAGATGATCTTTGGAAGTCTCTTCCAGCTCTGCATTTGAATGATTCCATACATCTAAAGTAACAGCCATCCAAACAGGTCCTTGCCCAGAGCTCATTGACTTCCTAGAATTAGTTCCTCCAAATTGGGGATGGGAGCAGGAGAAAAAAGAACACAGGGAAATTCTACTAGGATAAATAAAAAGGAGCCATTTGTCTGGAGGAATACGGGAAAAATATTTCTATAGATTGTCAAGAAGTTGCTCTGCTGGAACGAGTGACTGAGAGTGCTAGAACTGGCATCAGATCACAAAGAAACCTGTCACTGTATCATGAATGGACAAAGGTGGCAAATGGACACCAGAAAGAAAACTCCAAGGATGCTAGAAAGGCATTATTTTTATAAAATCCTTGGTCTTCTAACCTGATTATTCTTTCAGCGATAGCAGTATTACTTTGCTGACTACACAGGGCTTACTCTTAAGTTTACATTATTTCAGGTTAGAGTTTTTTCCTTTAAATGCTCAAAAGAGAAAATCAGTATTAAAGCTGATTTTCTGCAGTAACCATATATCTAGAGCTTGCATTAAGAAGTGTTTGAGGAATTCTGACACGCAAGGAGAGGCTGAGGGAGATGGGATTGTTTAGCCTTGAGAAGAGAAAGCTCGGGGGGATCTTACCACCATGTATAATACCTGATGGGAGGGAGTGAAAAAGACAAAGCCAGACTCAATGGCAGGACAAGAGGCTCCGGGCACAAACTGAAACACAGGCAATTCCATTTAAATGGAAGAACAACCTTTCCTGACTGTGAGGGTGGTCAAGCACTGGAACAGATTTCCGAGAGAGCTTTTGGAATCGCCTTCCTTGGAGGGATTCAAAACCCGACTGGACACAGTCCTGGTTATGGATCGTGAGGACAACTGTCTTACTAGGAGCCCGCAGCAGCAGTGCTGGAAACAGTGCATCACAGCAGCCCACACCCCGCGCCCGTGTACAGTCAGAGAAGAGAAGCACTGAGAACTTCTGGGAAGAACTTTGTGCATCCAAGCCTCGTGCCCTAGGGCACGTTTGTTTTCATGGGTCTGTAGCTAGCACTACATCTAGCTGCTTTGTCTACTCAGCCTGAATTACCCAGTTGTCCTTTAAAACTAGCAACTTCAGTGTGAGTCCAGAATAAGGCAGTTGTCCCTGGAGCCACAACAAAATGCATTATGCAATTTGTCATTATGCCCCCTGAGCAGATGTAGTATTCGTAAGCAATTACTAAGACAAACATGGAGAGGGAAAATACGCAAGAGCAAACACAAAGGTAGCTATAAACATTCTGAGTTTTGGTAGTGTAATTAAGATCTAAATGAAAAAGATGCAGAACAAAGAAATTTATTCTTTAGAAGAGAGGGATCTGCCCACTGAAACGTTTGATAGATTCTTGCCTAGCAAAAAGTTTTCTGTGATTCCCCTAGAACAGGTTTTCATACCATGCTACTTAGATTGATTAAAAAGAAGTAGACTATTACTCC